CTCTACAACCATTGTCTCCATGATTTACTCTAAGAAAGAACTGGATAGTTTGTAATTGCTTCTACATGCTCTAAAAGTTAATGGATTACTTTGACTTTTTTATCACATCATTCATCTTATATTTGTTTCTGAAGAGCCTATCATTTGTGATTTTCTTTATGGCAACAGGTTCCTATCTAATTTCTCCACTTAGTAATGTACAAAATACTTGGAAATACTTTATTAGTTCCTTGACATTTTGTAATGGGTTTACAGTTTACAGGAACTGCTGAAAAGAGAATGAAGGAAGACCTTTTACTAACATGTTATTACAGAATGAAGTCATCTATTTCTGCTCCAGTTCAGTCAAATACTTAATTTGTACTTTAAGCCTATGCTTTAAGATTTTGGTAATTTTGGATCTGGTTTACAAGTATTGGATCTCTTCTCTAAATGTCTTTGATCAAAGGTACATTTTCAAAGGATAATAATAGCTCTTATATAGTATTTTAGTCAAAGATACCAGAGTTCTTTGTAGTGGAGGCCCATACCAATATTTTCATTCTACAGGCGATTTGCCTCAATTTCCTTCTGCAATGTTCATACTTAATTTCTCTGCAGTATGGACTTGGACTAGAATAAAAAATGGCATTGTAAGAAAAATTAACAAAAAGAAATTACTAAGGAAAAAAACCCTTATTATAGTTGTAATGTGATTTGTGCTCTCAGACAAGTGGATTATGTGGTAGGAACACAGTAGATTGCTATTTAAGTGGAAAGCAAATTGAGACTGAGGAATTTTGAGAATTTAATTCAGTACTTTAGTAAAAGGCTGGTAAATAGCAGAAGCTCAAAATACCGAATTACTTGACCTGAGCTACAGCAAAGAGTGTTGGGATGAATTTTGGTTTATTTTGTATCACTACTATTTAGTGACGTGTCTTGGTGGAACTAAGGAAGATTTTTTCCTTCTTATCAATTGCAAGCCAGCTCCCCTTATGGAATCCCTGTCTATGGTTTCTGGAATCACACATGAGACAAGGTGGTAGTGCAGTGACCTCTGCTTTTGCAAGTGCTGGGCCTGCATACATATCTCAAATACTACTTTTTTTCTGGGCAGCTGAGTGAAAATTTTGATTAGAGGTCCATAGTGAAAAAGAAAGAATGGAAATAATAGATTTTCAGAAAGGAATAGCAAAACATTGATGAACAGAGGTTGACTCACATTTTCAGTGCTGTCTTCAATTTGAATTATTCTACTGCAAAAAGAAAATGAAAACAAAATGAAGATGCAGAGAAAGAATTTAATGTGACACAAGTTTGAGAAGATTAGACTGCTTATGCAGATGTATAACTTACAAGTTATAAAGAAGATTATTTTGAAGATTTTATTTGCCTTTTCTCAAAATAAAAGAAAAAAGAAATAGTGAGTAAGTTGGAAGTCATAACAAAGGTAATTTTTAAAGGTAATAATTAGCCCGTAGAAGTCTCCGAATTTAGTAAAGTACGCACTGTAGACACAATGAATTCTGGGAATTTTTTACCAAGCAGGTTTTTCTATATGTACTAAAACTATCTCCTGATCTGGTATTTCCATCCATTTCAGTGAATAAGTTAAAGATTTATTGCAGCAGTTAGGGAAGAGCTCCCTCAAAACCATATTTTCCATGGTTTTCCATCAGATTTTACAGTTTTTATTTATGATCTGATACCAATCACTGCTGAGACAAAATTTCAGAGCAGATTAATAGTAATTTGATGCAGTCTGAGTCCTCTTCTTGTGATGATGGTGGTCATTTCTGTTGTCTCTTGAAAGCTAATGAGATAGATGTACAGAGAAAGTGAATAGGAGAAACTCCACAGGAGATATTAAAAAGATTTGGATCATTTATATGGTAGCAAATGAAAAGGTTGTGATGAAATACATACAAAGTTAATGTCAGATAACTGTGTGCTTCTGTTCATCTTTTGTTTCAACAGGAGAAGCAGGAA